GTTGTTTGGTAAATATAGACATGCTCAGTCTCAGCCACAATCCTGTCGTGCATTTGGCTGTACTGGATATTGCATTTCCCGTCGCACCGCTCGGTAATGTTATGTATCCACATCACCGATGTGCTACACCCGCTGCCTCCGCTCAGTTGGCTCCGGCCTCCTGTTTGTCCCTCGTCCCCTCCGTTCCACCATCGGTGGCCGTGCCTTCAGCCACTACACTACTCCCCGAAATTCTGGAACTCTCTTCCTCAATCACTCCGCCTCAAATCCTGCCTAAAGACCTTCCTTTTTGATCGTGCTTACGTTCGCCTCTCACCCTGGCTCGGGGCTGGCGGGGGGGGGGGGGGTTCAGACTCCGCCATTGTCGATCGATCTGGGGCGCTACCCCACGTGAAGGATGCTGTAAGTTGTTATGTTCCCGAGACACCATGTCAGTTAGATTCCTGCTACTTGAATTTCCTGTTTAATTTTTAACTGAGTGAAGCACAGGCCTATGTATTTGAGTGACTCTTTCCCTTGAAAAATGCTGCGTAGTTGTTGCGATGTAGTTTCGTTGGTGCTGGATCTCTGCCACATAATTAGCAGAGACGGCTGTTGTAAGCAGCTTTCACCCCGTGGGCAGCAGCTGTTAAATTGAGCATATTGGAAGTGCAGATCTATGGGGCAGCGAGCTATCTATGTGCAGCACTTTTACCCTACTGACACACATAGTGGGATCGATTCCAGCGACAACTGTTCAGTCAGCAACCACACTTGAGTGAGGACAGTGAGGTTCCTTTTCTTTCAAAGAAATCTTGGGTTTATACTCTGTTCAGAAATTATATTTCTCGTACATCACTTCCTCACTTGGCAAGAAGTCTTGCTTGCGTCATTTCTGTTGCCCGTAATGTTAGCTGATCTGGACTGTTGGAATATTTAAGTACTTTTGACCCGATTACAGTTATATTTCATGTAAATTTCGTTTCATTCATTTGTGAAGTCCTGCGGCTTATTGGTTAGGGCACGCACTTTGCAAGCGAGAGGACCTGGATTGGATTCCCGGGTGGGGCGAAACCTTAGGCTTCTTTTTTACTCCGCACACATGCCTCTGTTTACCTAGCTGTAAATAGGAACCCAGTTATTAGTTGATCGGCAGATTGCTTTTCTGGGGATAATTATCACTTCAAGACGCCTCAAAGAGCTTCACAGAATATACTGTAAAGTGAATCGACTGTATTTTGTGGATGAAACGCAGCAGCCAATTGCGCACAGCAGTGTTTCGCAAACGGTCGTGGATCGAGTGACCAATTATTATAATTATTTATTTTTTTGAAGGGATTATTACCCCCGGAAAAGCGATCTGCCAGTCGACTAACAACCCAGTTCCTACTCACTGCTAAGTAAACAGACGCGTGGAGTTAGGAAACTTGCCTCACATTTCGCCCTGACCTGCCGGGGAATCAAACCCAGGTCCTCTCGCTTGCGAGACGAGTCTGCGCACCCTCCCTCGGGATCCTGGATTCATCGCTGCTGTAAACAACAATATCACCAACAGGAGTTAATACTAGGATCTGAACAGCCGTACAATATAATGAGCATTGCAACACCACTGAACGTCATACCTGAGTTTGTTTAATGAGCTGATCACGTGTCGGGCAGCAAAACATCTGAGGAGGCATAAGGGGCTGACTCACCACAACAAACGCTAACAGCTTCAGGTGGCTGATTTATTTCCTCTCGATGGCCTATTTGTGGATTGAGCCGGGTGAGTCGGTTGCACGCGACTCGCTCACGTGATCAAACCAGCAGCAAATATGACTCATGCGCTCGGGAGTCACGGTTGTACAATGCGGTTCCACTTCATCGAGCAAGTCCCATTAGGTTATTGCTTTGTGCAGCTTATAAATGAGGAAAGGGTTCCTTTGTTATGACTATAAACTGTTAACCCTGAAGGCGTTTGAATGAATGGGCGTTCTGCTCGGGCGATTGGGGCTTTCATTTAAAAAGGTGAAATCCGAAATGCTTTCAAACGGCCGTGCCACTCTGAGTATAATTTCTACACGAGACAAATTTTTACAAGTCTGCAGCAGAAACGGGCAGTGCTGGAAACACATCCGCTGTGATTTTAAAGGGTAGAATCGCGCAAATTTGCATTTACTTTTGTCCAGTCTTTTTGTGAAGTCATCTGAGTGGGATGGGGATGGTGAAGTCTATTGTTTGTGCGGAATGCGCTCCTAAAGGTTCCTCGCAGCTGTTGTTCCATTGAAAATGTGATGGGGAGTTTATTTCGTATCATCTTTGGGGAAATAAGACATTTCATGTTTTACTTTGCCTTCTGTTGGAAGGCCAAGCTCACTAAAGGCACATATAATGTGACTTATCGGGTTAAAATAATAATAACACTTGCATTTGATACAGTGCCCTTATCAAGTCATTGAGATGTCTCAAAGCGCTTCACGGTAAGTGAAATAACTGCGGTTTGTGGGCAAAACGCAGTATGTTCAGAGTTGACTTGTGAAGATGGTTATCTAGGAAATAGTAAGTTATGGTTAAAGTCCAACAACAGACAATAACAAAGTTAACATTTGTAAAGCGCCTTTCACGTCAGGAGGAGGTCCCAAGGCTCTGAACAGTCGGGGATCAGGGACAGGTGTTTCTTACATTGCCAGACAGAGGAGGAGCCAAAAAAAATCCTTTCAAGAATAAATAAATTGGTCACTCACTCCACGACTGTTTGTGGGACACTGCTCTACACAATTGGCTGTCACGTTTAGCCCACAAAATATACATCAATTCAGTTTGCAGTATATCCTGTGAAGCGCTTTGCGACTTCTCGAAGACGTGATAAGGCGCTATATCGAATGCAAGGATTATTATAACTTAAAGGAGCTGAAACTTCATTGATCTAATGGATATCTGACATCTCCCTGAGCTTCCTGATATGCTATCTAGTCAAGGGGCAGGCAGTTGATATGGTCCAAGGCTTCTGACGGCTCTTCCTGACATTGTTTTTAGACGGCTCTTCCTGACATTGTTTTTAGATCAGGACACTTGGAATGTGAGCATGTGTTTAGCTAAATGGATCATTGAGTGCAGTCTGAAGATTCAGCTAAATTTTTGGTTTGAATTATTTAATGCATGTGTTGAATATTATAATCACAATAATAACGTGCATTTGATAGAGCACCTTATCACGTTGTTGAGACCTCATGCGCTTCACAGAATATACTGTAAGTGAACTGATTTTTTTGGTGCGATATGAATGTAATTTTGTTGTTGTGGTTATGCAAAATAATAATAAATCGGTCACTCATTCCACAACCTTTTGTGGGACACCAGTGTGTGCAATTGGCTGCCACGTTTTGCCCACAAGATATACAGTCAAGTCGCTTTACAATACATTCTGTGAAGTGCTTTGAGACGTCTCAAAGTTGTGATAAGGCGCTATATCAAATGCAAGGGATTATTAGACACAGAGAGAATCCAAAGACTCATCTTTTTCCAGAGAATAGTTTACTCTTAGTGCCAATTCAATGAGGTGATATAATGCAAGGGTTTATTGTTATTGCTGTATTTTAAAAAAAATGCGGTCACTTTTTATTTGTTTATTTGTAGGACATTGCTGTGCTCTATTCTATTGAGGAGCTAAACTCCCATCACACCACTACCGGCCAGGCTCCACTGGCTCCCTATTGCCAAACGGATCGATTTCAAGATCCTCACACTTGTTTTCAAACCCCTTCATGCCCTTGCGCCTCCCTATCTCTTCTGACCTGCTCGACTGGCTCCGGCCTCCTGCATATTCCTCAAAACTCTTGGAACACTCTTCGTCTATCCCTTCCGTGTTGCCACTTCTTTCCACATCTTCAGATCGCGCCTGAAGAACCTTCCTAGTCCACCGTACCTATGGTCACCTCCCCCGGCTTGGCATCGTGCTCTGCCACTGTCAATCACTCTGGGATGCTACTCTGTGTGAGAGGCGTTGTGTGAATGCAAGTTGTTGTTATTCGAAGACTCCGTTGCTTTTTTCACGGTTGTTTGCGGGTCAAGAAGTCTTAGTACCCACAAGACCCTTTTTTAGGAGATTAGGGCTGTGAGGCACATCAATATCAATCCCAGAATTTTTGCTCTTTTCCTCAAGTAACGAAGGTCCCATATCTATGACTGTTGTACAGAGATGCCATTCGACAGCACTGCCATCTGGCTCTCAGAAGGTTGTGAATTCAAGCCTCACATCAGAACGTGAGCTCACTGTCTTGGTTGATGCTTCAGTGCAGTACCGTAGGGGAGAAGGGCGGGGTGGGGGGAAGCACTGCATTGTAACAGTTCCATCCTTGGAATGACCCCTTTGGTACTCCATCCCACAGTCCCTTCACCTTGCTCCCTCCCTCGCCTCCTTCAAGGTCGTCTCAAGACCCTCCTCTTCGACAGTGCCTTCAGCCACCCTCCTACCCTTACCCTCATTGCCCTCCACACCTCCTAATCCCGGCCCCCAGCTCAGGTGCAAATCCCTGACTTTCCAGCGCCTTGGGACATCCTACCGATGTGAAAGGCCAGGTCTAAATGTAAATTGCTGTTGTGGGATGAGGCATTAAACCTATCCTCGTGTGCACTTTGAAGATCCTATAACACTATTTGAAAAGAGATGGGAATTTCTCCTGGTGTGTGGACTAAACAATCCTCTCGATAAGCTGATCAGCTCTTGGCTGTTGGTAGTACCACAAATGGCTATTCCTGAATGATGAACCTGATTAAGAGAACTTAAATATTATTGGTGCTTTAATCAGACATTTAAGCAGAAAATGTCATTTGTTTCAAGAACCGATGAGATGGATTTCTGATGGAAGATAATATTTGGAGATACAGTACATAGTTTGGGACACAGCATGTCAAGCGACTGCCAGGATGATGGATGGTGAACAAGATGGACCTTGGTCTTCTTTCACCTTGCAATTTCTTATGTTCTTAATCATTTCTACAACAATCACGTGTTCTAATGCTGCTCTTGTCATTCATTGCAGGCTTCCAGGTGAGGTCTACAATGGGATCAATGGTATGTCGGGGGAGAGTGGCCCTGGGAAGAGACTAAGAAAGTTGCCCACGATGGGGGACGGACTAGAAAATACACAGATGTCTTCAGTTCAGTCACAGGCTCAACCCCAACAACCAAGTAATGTTATCGTCAATCCTGCCGCTCCCGAAACAGCCAACCCAAACCGACCCAAGAGACTCACCAATCAGCTCCAGTTCCTGTTGAAAGTTCTCCTAAAGACTATATGGAAACACCAGTTCGCTTGGCCTTTCCAGCAGCCTGTGGACGCAGCAAAACTCAACCTGCCTGTAAGTTTGTGAACTGTTTTAACATTCTTTAAACGTCTGTTTACCCAGCAGTTAGTGGAGTCTTGCAGGTAAGTGATTGGAGCACTCGCCTCGCAAGCGAGATCACCTGAGTTCGATTCCCGGTAGGGCAAGTTTCCTTAATCCACATGTCTCTGTTTACCTAGCAGTAAATTGGAACCCGGTTGCTAGTCAATTGGCGGATCACTTTTCCTTACAAAAATAATAAATTGGTCACTCAATCAACGACTGTTTGTGGGACACTGCCGTGTGCAATTGGCTGTTGTGTTTTGCCCACAAAATATAGTCACTACAGTTTACAGTATATCCTGTGAATCGCTTTTGAGACATCGCCAATGCGATAAGGCCCTGTATCAAATGCAAGGGTTATCATTATTTTTAAACCTAATCGATGACTGTTAGTTCAAAGTGTGGTAATCGCACGGTGAACAATCAAGTCTACAGTAGAATATTGTGTACAGTTTTTGGCACCTCTCACCGAGGATACAAACGAGATACTCACCAGGACATTGTACTTTTGAACTTAAGCCAAATGTTTACTGGAAGGTTTACACTATTCAAAGAAGATACAACTCAGAAATAGGCCATTCAGTCCTCCGCACTTTGAGACGTTTTTGTATTCTGCACTTTGAGACGTCTTGAAGACGTGATGAGGGACTATATCAAATGCAAGGATTATTATTATTTATTATTGTATAACCCCAAAGCAGTGAATAGTTGCTGAAAATTATTGAAACTTTTTTTAATATATTTAAAAAAAACACAGAATTTGTTCACAAAGTTCTATGGACTTGTCATTGAAAATAAATAACTAATATCACTCAAGTCACAACTGTTTGTGGGACACTGCTGTTCGCAATTGGCTGCCACATTTCGCCCACAAAATATACAGGCTCTACATTTTACAGTGTATTCTGTGAAGCGATTTGAGACGTCTCGAAGACGTGATAAGGCGCTATATCAAATGCAAGAGTTATTATTATACTTATTATTGACGGGGAGAGCTTGTCTACTACTTGTATGTAGATCACCCGGTAATAATTTCCCGTGACTAAGATGTCTGCCAGACAGTGAAACTGCCTCTCTGTATTGGGGAAATCCTATTTGATGTACTGTATCAAGCGTGTGCCTCATGCTGGGCTGCCTTTTACGATGGAGGGTGTAGTGAGGCAGCATGTTCTGAGTGGTCAGATGTGGGTTTGTCCCTGTGACCTTGCGCCAGATGATTTTTTTTGTGAGGTAGGTTGGTTGGTGGAGGTTGTCTCGCATTTCCCTTGGGAGGGAAACACGAGATGATTCACCCCAGGTCACTGTGAGCAAACCCAACAGCCAGATGTAGAGCAGCACTGGCAGAAGGTGGCCGCTTTGCTCTTTCAGCGAGCTACATAAAAAAGGGGGAAGCTACAGATGGCGGAGTGAAAACTGAGTCTTGCGGAACAGAACACAGAAGAGCTCAAAGCCACGCTCCAAAGTTAGCAGATGTTGTGTGCTGCAGATGAACCGGTCTGCACTTTTGTGAATTTAAACGCCAACACTATCGAACGCTCTTGCTAAGACACTGAACCGGAATAGAATTCCCAACATCTGGATGCTAGTTTATGGTAAATAATAATAATATTTCTTGAATTTGATATAGCGCTTCATCACGTCGTTGAGGCGTCTCAAAGCGTTTCACGGAATATACTGTAAAGTGGAGTGACTGTGTATTTTGTGCGTGAAACGCGGCAGCCAATTGCGCACAGCAGTACCCCACAAACAGTCGTGGATTGAGTGACCAAATTATTTTGAGTCGTTCAATTATTGTCAGTAAATTACTGGATTAAGTACAGTCAAGGTCTGTGCTCTTCCGGGACACTACCCGCGTGGAGGGTACTATATAAATGCAAATCATTGTTTGTCAGTGAAACACTTTCCTTCCTTTCTTGCCACGTATGTGATTCTCACCTGTCAATTGGATACTGTCCAACACATGACCAGGAGTCCTCCCAACCAGGAGTCCTCCTGACAGAATTGAGTCGTCACTGACTCTCAATTGCCTGCCGTGTTTCGCTCACAAAATAATCAATTCACTTTGCAGCATATTCTGTGAAACGCTTTGAGGCATCTCGAAGACGTGATGAGGCTCTGTATCAAATGTAAGGATTATTATCATTGTCTGGACACTAGTTATGTGTTAGATGCACTCGCTAATACTGGGTCCATTAGCTCTGCAACCCATAACTTTTATGCAAAGCAAAGGGTATAATGTATGTTAATTCGCTTGTTTAGGGATTTAGAGAAAATAACTGACAATTTTTTTTAAAAAAAGTTGGGAATAACTTTGGCTTTTGAGAGTTAATTTGGATCAAATATAATGCGCAAAGCAGCCACCTTCTGCCAGTGCTGTTCTACACGTCTCCATTCTCAAAATCATTCACAGACTATTTTAGGGAATTCCAATTGTCTTTACATACTGTAAAGCTGTCTGAGGATTGTGTCGGCGGACCTCAGATCACAGGATTGGGCTCCATCTGGCTTGTCTCGCACTAAGTTTAATCCGACATCACTGACTCTCAAATGAATTCTTTGCCAAGTAGCAATCTAATTTACTCCTGAATTTACTGAAGCAATCTGTCTCCATTGCTCCCCTGAGTCACCATTCCACACACAGTGTGTAAAGTCATTGTTCACTTCCCTTCATCTGAGCTTGAATCTCTATCTGTTTATTCTGGAATTGTTGACTGTGTTAAACATTTATTAAGATATATGTTAACACGGCCAACTTTTAGTTTTGAAATATTGCCCATGTGTCTATTGTATGTATATTTTATATATGTGTATATTATATGTGTGTGTGTGTATATATATATATATGTGTGTGTATGTATATGTATGTCTATATATATGTGTGTGTATGTATATGTATGTCTATATATATGTGTGTGTATGTATATGTATGTCTATATATATGTGTGTGTGTATATATATATATTCAATCACATCGGCGGATGTCAGGAAACTGGATGTCCTATGTACACAGCAGTTGTGACAGCCTGTTTATAGTTATTCTCTTCCAGAAACATGCCAGTTTATAGCATAATGTGGTGATTTTTGTCGTCTGGCTGCAAATACTGCCTTTAATATAAAACATACTTGTAGCACACTAAGGGGCTAATGTTACGGTTTTATTTAGTGAATCCCTCTTGAAGTAGATTCCCAGCCGGGCGAAATGTTGGGCAAGTTTCCTTACTCCACATGCCTCGTTTACCTAGTTGTAAGTAGAAACCCGGTTGTTAGTCGACTGGTGGATCGCTTTTCTGGGGATAATAAATCCTTTTTTTTAAAAAAGACCACGACTTTTCTGTCCACAAAATATACAGTCAATTCTCTTTACCGTATATTGTGTGAAGCGCTTTGAGATGTCTCAAAGATGTGATAAGACACTATATAAAATGCATGGAGTATTTATTTTTCTGTGCAGCATTAATGATACTGTTTCCTGTTCTATTCTCACTTGAAAGCATTTCCTTTGTTACTTTTCTACCGCATGATATAGTTTTACAATCACCATTTTTCGGAGTGGAAATTCTTGGGTGGGGAGGTAAGTGGGATCTCCTTGGAGTCTAAATGGCTCCAAGGTGACCTGCTTGGCAATGGAATGTCACAATCGGGACCACCCTGTGTGACGGTCTCCAGTCCGCCTCCTGAGCCAGGTGGTTCTGCAGAACTCGGCTCCTGTTAACCCTGCAAGGCAACGCCCTAACGGGTAAGGTGGTCCTAGCTGTACAAGCAATGGGAAAGCTTGCCAGACAGGGCTCTCAATGGCAAGCTGTGTGGTTTTAGCTGGTTAGACTCCAGCAGTTACCCCAACACATACTCTGGCCTCCCCAAGCCTTGGCTCTTGCCAACCTGAGCCTTGGAATAGGTAAACAAGATGCATCCCTCCAGGGAGGGGGAGAGAGAGAGTGTGCATTCAATTAAACTTATCATGGGGATATGCATGTGTAAATGGGATACCATGAGTACTTCAGCTTGGTTTGGAGTCTCTTAAGCATGATGATGGGTTTCCCGCATGTGTCAGACACTCGGCTGACCAAAAAAATAACTGCCGAGAGAGCAGCTTTGAAGGAGCAGACTGGTCAGTGGGGAAAGGAATTCTTCCTTCTCAGCTCCCGCTATATTTACAGGCCAAAGCCCTAATGGGAAGCGTGGTCCCAGCTGCACAAACGGTGGGAATCTTGCCAGACAATGCTCTCAAAAATAATAATCCTTGCGTTTGATACAGCGCCTTATCACATCTTTGAGACATCTCAAGGCGGTTCACAGAATGTAGTGTAAAGTGGGTGAAGCTTAGCAATTTCTAGCTACACTAAACTTCACATAAGTCATATCATTTAATAATAATAATAATGATCCTTGCATTTGATATAGCGCTTTTCACGTCTTCTCGTGTGGGCGAGACCGTATATTTGTGGGACCATACATTTAATACGACTTGCGCAAAGCCTGCGTTATCGTGTAAACTTGTATAGAATATAAACTCTTGAACGGGACTCAGGCAGATGCACAACTTAGCGAGCGATTATATGATTTATACATATCAGATTTATGAGAGTTTTACTTTACCTCTCTGTATCTCTGTGTACCTCTGGCGCCCTGTTTGTCCCTCGTCCCCTCAGCTCCGCCATCGGTGGCCGTGCCTTCAGCCACTGCGCCCCGAAACTTTGGTACTCTACCTCAAGCCCGCCGCCTTGCTCCCTCCCTCCCCACTTTCAAATCCCTAAAGACCTTCCTTTTTAGTCGTGCTTACGGTCACCTCCCGCTCACTCGGGGTCAGACTCTGCCACTGTCAAGTGCTCCGGGACAGTATCCCGCGTAAGTGCCGCTACATAAATGCAAGTTGTTGCTGCTGTTTGTCAATTGATTTTATTAACCGTGGTATAATCTTATAGTCAGTTTAGCTCATTTGAATGAAGTGTAAGTAATGTTGAATCACTTTGGATTTGTAGAGTAAAATTGCCATGCTATTAATTTCTCCTTCAGTGTGTCAGTCTGTATTAATTTCGTCACATTTTGTTTCAGGATTACTATAAAATTATCAAGAGCCCTATGGACATGGGAACAATTAAGAAGCGCTTAGAAACCAACTACTACTTGAATGCCCAAGAATGTATTCAAGACTTCAACACCATGTTTACCAACTGTTACATCTACAACAAGGTAATTGCTCGTTTTCAAACGGGTATCGATAGATTCTCTGGGGAAAAAGCTTGTAGATTTTCATAGTGCTACAGAAGAGAGCATCTGCTTTGTTAGCCAGAGATTGGAATTGTGAACGAAATCTTAGGCATTGGTTGATTTGTCAAGCGCCCTCTTGAAGCTTGAAAGTCTCGAAGATGTGTTAAGGTGCTATATAATTTGCAAGGATTATTATTATTATCTGGTTCAGAACCCTATGACACATTTATGCAGCTATTGATTATTCTCAACGTCCTTAGCACACAGTGGCGTGTGGTCCATACTCGACTTATTATTCACACACAAACGCCCCCCGCATGCACCCCAGACCACCCCCTCCACCCGCGCTACAATTCACTTTATAGTATATTCTGCGAAGTGCTTTGAGACGTCTCGAAGATGTGGTAAGTCCCTGTATCAAATGCGAGGATTATTATCATTATTATAGAGCACTGAAATGGATTGCTTTTTGAATTTCTTACGTGCAAAACGTGACAGGGTTCACCAGTTTGGGATAAACCCAGCTGCTGGCACCAAGGGAAAGATTCAGACGCGGCTAAGAACTGGAATGTAGAATTCTCAAGGTTTAATAGCTCGAAACTGCTGTTACTGACGTTTGCTTCAGCGCAGCTACAGAAGAACATGCCAACTAAGTTATTGGAGCAAGTGATCAATTGAGCAGAACGGAGTTAATTGTGCTTGAAGGTGCTTGACTTTTGAGTCCGCTGATGAATTGCTGTACAATCTGAATGAAGCGAGTGAGGCCCGTGGAGTCCTGTAGAGTAGTGGTTAGCACGCTCGCCTTGCGAGCAAGAGGCCCGAGGTTTGATTCCCTCGGGCAGGACAAAACATTGGGCAAGTTTCCTTACTACACACACACACACACACACACACGCCTTACCTAGCAGTAACTAGGAACCCAGTTGTTAGTCGATTGCAGGTCGCTTTTCCCAGGTAATAATCCCTTCAAAAAAATGTGTCAAAATAAATTATAATAAATTGGTCACTCAATACACAACTGTTGTGCGCAATTAATTGGCTGCTGCATTTCGCTCAGAAAATTCAGTCAATTCACTTTGCAGATTCTGTGAAGCACTTTTGAGACGTCTCGAAGACATGATAAGGCGCTGTATCAAATGCAAAGGATTATTATTATGACATTTATATAGCACCTTTCACACCGTCGGTTTTGGTCATCCAACAAAATAAATGCTTCATGATTGAATATTCCTTGATTTCTGGCATAAATCTATGCCATTTTGTTATTTCTATGATTATACGGTTAGCCAAAAGGTTTGGCCACCGCTGCGTTAAGACATTGTGGAGTCCAGTAGCTCAGTGGTTAGAGCATAAGTGAGAGACCTGGGTTCGATTCCCGGGCAGGGCAAAACGTTGGGTAAGTTTCCTTACGCTTCTGTTTACCTATCAGTAAGTAGGAATCCGGTTCTTAGTCGATTGGCGGATAACTTTTCCAGGGTAATAATTCCTTTTTTTAAAAAAAAAATTGGTCACTTCAATCCACAACCGTTTGTGGGACTGCTGCTGTGCGCAAACAGCTGCCAAGTTTTGCCCACAAAATTCAGTGCCAATTCATTTTACGGTATATTCTGTGAAGCGCTTTCAGACGTCTCGAAGACGTGACAAGGCGCTGTGTCGAATGCAAGGATTATTATTGTTATTATTGTTGGGGGTTGAAGGGTTATGCGGAGCCAGGTGCAAAGACATATCCATCCGTTCCCCCAGAGTCGAGCTTACCTCCTTCGAAGTGGCATTGATGAGACGAGCAGCCCTGCTAAATCATTACCTGTGCCTTGAGTTCGAGGGACATGCCTGGCTCTGATATCTAATCACCAAATAAACAATGGAGCATTAGCTCAGTCTCATTATCTTTTTGCCACTTGCGTGCTGTGGAACCCACTCAACCTGACTCCACAATCGCCCCCGTTCCTGCCCGGCTCCACTGGCTCCCCATCCCTCAGACAGTTGAGTGCCAAACCCTTGCTCTCACCTTCAAAGCCACTATATAAAGACAAGTTGCTGTATGCATATGTGAATTGTTTTCCTAACCCACAGCTTTCTCTTTCCATTTACAAACAGCCGGGGGATGACATTGTCTTAATGGCAGAAGCCTTGGAAAAGATTTTTCTTCAGAAAATTTCCGATATGCCACAGGACGAGATCGAAATACCGTTACAACCTCCCAAAGGATCGCGGGGTCGAGGCAGGAAAGAGTCAGGTAATTGTTTTCACATTCTGGTTTAACTGTGTGTTTGTGTGTGTGTTGTGTGTCTGTATAGTTGGATTAAAATCTCATGGTTGACATACAAATAGGAGTAGGCCATTCAGCCCCTCAAGCCTATTCCACCATTTAGATCGTGGTTGATCTGTCCCTCAACTCCAATTACCCGCCTTTTTTGTCCCATATCCCTTGATATCCTGACCTAACAAATATCTATTCATCTCAGTCTTAAAAATGTGAATGGATCTAGCCATGATTCAGAGCCTTTTGGGGGAGAGAGTTCCAGATCTCCACTCCACTTTGAGTGGAAAAAATACTTCTTTAATTAACGCTTGAATGGCCTAGCTCTAATTTTAAGATTGTGCCCCCTTGTTCTGGATTCTTTATCATGCGTTTCGGAAATTTTCTCAAAGTGCTTCACAGAATATTTTTTAAATATTTTTTAAGTGAACGGGTAGTACTTATACTCTCTGCTGTTCGAGTTGATGCGAAATGTTAACGCTTTCATGTTTGTTATGATTAGAATTGGTACTTGCGACTTGATCGTTCAGAAGTGCAGACTGTTAGTTTGGAAATACATCCCACAGTGCCTTTGCCTTGCCCCCTCCCTTGCCTCCTTCAAGGCCTGTCTCGAGATCTTCTTCTTCGACCATGCCTTCGGTCAAGCTCCTACCGTTACCTGCCCTCCACCACTCCTGATCCCAACCCCAAGCTTGGGTGCAAATCCTTGACGGTGCAGCGCCTTGGGATGTCCTCCCTACGTGACAGGCGCTGTGTAAATATAATTTTTTGTGGTTACTGTTTTGATATTACAAGTCCATTGCTGATTTTTAGTAATTGTGCTGAGAATGTACAGAACTAGGAAAAGCACTCCGATGAGATCCTTTCATCCTATTTTACCGCCTTTTCTCCATCCTCCTTATTACCATTACTCACAAAGTGTCTATCTATCTCAGAAGTAAGAGAGGGGAGACGAAAGTTACTGAGACCCAAGTGAAGTGCTTCTAACATTGGAGCCCCATGATCAGGCACTTCATTATAGTATGGACTTGGCCACTGTAGATCCCATTCACTGTGCGTGCAGCTGGCCTGCTCTGCTCACTTCCTGTGCTCTGGCTGGCTTTGTGCTAAAATGGCTTACTTCCAGATTATTAAGTCGCTGTTATATAGCTTCCTGATTTGCGTATGTGTATCAAACACGTGGCCAGCCATGCATCTGTGCAGTGAAACAAGCTATCGTGCCTTGTTAGAGCCACGGGTCAGCATTTTATGGATGTGAAGTGCCATGTTATAACGAGGTCCCACTCCTTTAGTAGTAATATTCCTTGCATTCGATTTACCTGACTCCGTATCACGTCTTCGGAACACATCGAGGTACGTCACAGAATGTTCTGTGAAGTGTAGTGACTGTGTATTTGTAGGCAAACGCGGCAGCCGATTTGCGTACCAGCAGTTTCTGAAAACCGTCATGAAGCGAGTGACCTTTTTTTTAAAAAAAAAGTCTGATGGATTGTTGGCTAGGACGCTGGGAGAGAAACTTGCTTCTGTTTTTGATTAGTACTGCGGAATCTGTAACACCCACCTAAACAGGCAGATGGGACCATGATTTAACATCTCACATGAAGGACAGCACTTCAGCAATTTATCTTGTCCTCCAACACTACATTGATGTATCAGCTCAAACCATTTGACTTCAAAGTTCTGACGTGGGGCTTGAACCCACAATCTTCTGACTCTAAGGTAAGAGTGCTCCCAACTGAGCCAGGCTGACACCTATAAAGTCTTGTAACATATCGGTTAGAGCACACGCCTCACAAGCGAGAGGACCTGGGTTTGATTCCCGGGCACGGAGAAATGTTGGGCAAGTTTCCTTCAATCTACCCACCTCAGTTTACGTAACAGTAAGCAGGAACTTGGTTGTTAGACGATTGACGGATACCTTTCTGGGGGTAATAATCCTTTCAAAAAAAAAAATTATAATTTGGTCACTCCCACGACTGTTTGTGGGACTGTTTGCTGTGTGTATTTGGCTGCCGGGTTTCGCCCAAAAAATATACAGTCGATCCACTTTACAGTATATTCTGTGAAGCGCTTCGAGACGTCTCAAAGACGTGATAAGGCGCAATATTATTAACGCGAGGATTATTTTATTAAAGGGAGACAGTAACCTTTCCCAGCTACACCTCATCCAAGCAAAATACAGTCAATTATTATGACTTATTATTATTACGGGGCTGAGATTTTTCAAATAATTCTCTAGTGTTTCTATGAGAATTGGCAGAGAAAACCCTTCACTAGGGCCTCCCTCCCTCAGCAGCAGCTACAGGAACTCCCTATGCAGGGCTCCGCTCCCTAATGGAAATACTGTGGGGATCGTATTACTGCACTGATGTAACTGATTAGCCACACGTCCGGATCCCCATGTGTGCAGAATGCTTAAATGTTTCCAAACATGACCAACTACACGACTATCAGTCTGGTTTCTGATCTCTTCCCCCCCAAAAATACTAAAATAATAACGATAACGGTCACTAGGTCTGCGACTGTTTGTGGGACACTGCTGAGCGCCCGGTTAGCTTCCGCGGTTCGCCCACGCAGTGTACAGTCGATCCACTTTACAGAATAGTCTGTGAAGCGCTTTGGAATGTCTCAGAGACATGGTAACGCGCTATATCAAATGCAAGGATTATTAGTATTATTGCTGCTGCACTGATGTAACTGATTATATAACAATATAATAATCTTTGCATTTGATATGGCCCCTTTTCACGTCTTCGAGACGTCTCAAAGGGCTTCACATGATATACTGTAAAGTGAATTGACTGTATTTTGTGGGTGAAACGCAGCAGCCCATTGTTTTTTTTTAACCACACGTCCAGATCCCCACACTGTGCAGAATGCTTAAATGTTTCCCAACATGACGCACTACATAGCTATTAGTCTGGTTTCTGATCTCTTCCAAATTGAAGTCGACATTCTCAGGAAAGCGGCTTGTGGTGTTCCGACTGTTTTTAATTTAGTGTGTTTTTTTTAAAAAAGCTAGTTTGTTCAGTCTCCACATAAAATGGAAGAGAGAGAGAGAGAGAGAGAGAGAGATGCCCAGATGGAGGGAAACCTCTTTAAGTAGAGCCTTGGAACTTTCTCCCAATGTGAACGGCGCTATACAAATACTCCTTTTTGAAATGATGTGTACAGGGTGATATTACAATGTCTATTCAGTCTGAAAGAAATGATTTTTTAAAGCGATAATAGGGTAAATATCGCGACTTTTTGGTCATCCTGGATTAGCCGATGGCTGTTTTTCTGTCCCTTTAAAAATAAATAAAAAATTGGTCACTCAATCCACGACCGTTTGTGGGACACTGCTGTGTGCAATTGGCTGCCACCTTTCGCCTACAAAACACAGTCAATATACTTCGCGCACGCCCGTGTGCGCGTGCGCACACACAACAACAACAAATCACATTTATAGAACGCCTTTCATGTCGGGAGGATGTCCCAAGACGCTGGACAGGGGTCAGGACCCAAGCATGGGGGAGGGGTGGAGTAGGGGGTGAGGGAAGGCGGAGAGGTGGGATGGAGAGCAAAGGAACGATGGAAGAGAAGGGTCTTGAGACCGGCCTTGAAGGAGGCAAGAGAGGAAGTGAGGCAAAGGGACCGTGGGATGGAGTTCCAGAGTGTGGGGGCAGAGAGGCTGAAAGCCCGGCCACCGATGGTCTGGCAGGAGACATGGAGCAGACCGGAGCCCGATGAACGGAGGGAGCGGGCAGGTTGGTAGGGAGTCAGCGGGTCAGAGGGGTGGGAGGGGACAATACCATGGATGGCCTTAAAGGTGAGGACGAGGATCTTGAACTCGGTCCTCTGAGGGATGGGGAGCCACTGGAGTCGGGCGAGGGTGGGAGTGATGGGGTCACGGAGCCTGGTGCACGAGAGGACACGAGCTGCAGAGTTTTGGGTGATCTGCAGTTTGTGAAGGGAAGAGTTGGGAAGGCCGATGAGGAGGGAGTTTACGTAATCGAGCCTTGATGTGACGAGTGTGTGGATGAGGGTTTCGGCAGCCTGAGGGGTGAGGCAGTGGCAGGGTCTGGCAATGTTGCGGAGGTGGTGGTGGTGGTAGGCAGTGTCCAGCCCGTGCATACCCCACACACACACAAGGATTATTATTTTAACAGAACAAGATCTAGGACTTAATGATTTTATGGGGCGTCCAAGAGCTGGAGGAAACTTTGTAGTTTATTACTATTTTATTGTACTGAGTTAGTCCATGACGATATCAAAGCAGCAGTCATTTCAATACTGTCGTAGTTTGCCTGCTGAATAATCTGCCAGATTTCACCTGAATTTTACCTGTTTGCCACCAGGTTTAGTAGTTGAGTCACTTATCCAGTTGCTACACGCAGAAACTTTACTATTGTCGATATTGTCCTCTCCACTGTTGGCGTCACTGACAGCGGTGTAACACGCCTACTGCTGTGAATCAATACTGCTTTAATCTGATAGCTGTTTGAACTTTACTCCCAAGTGTGGGCGAAACTCGATCCGCAACTGTTTGTGGGACACTGCTGTGCGCAATTGGCTATCACGTTTCGCCCCCAAAAACACTTCACGTCAATTCATTTTTGCAGTGTATTCTGTGAAGCACTTTGGGATGTCTCAAAGACGTGATAAGCTGCTGTATCAAATGCGAGGATTGTTATTATTGTTTTGATGATGATGTAAATAACTGTTGCTCTCCTTTCTATTTAGCCGTTCAGTCTAAACCCGGGGGGTCAACCATACAGACTGTGGCACAGACAACAATATCAGCACCAACAACACCACAGCCCCCACCACCGCTCCCCACTCAGCGGGCACCTCCCCCATCACAGCCGGCACCACCACTACAGCAGCTCCCCCCTGTGCCAGTGCCAGCACCCCCTCCTGCACCTCCACCTCAGACGTTTCCTCTCCCGACTCCTGACCTGATCGTCCAGACGCCCATCACAACTGTCTCCCCGCACACGTCAGCCCCCCCCATGCCCAACCTCACGCCGACACCGATGACCACAACAGCACAACCGACAAAGGTAGGAACAGTCCCCTCGAACAGTCTGTCAACATCAACAACAACAACAAATGACTTTTATCCACGACACCTTTCACATCGGCAGGACGTCCCAAGCTGCTGGACTGGAGTGTCAGGGATTTGGACCCTAGCTGGGGGTTGGGATCAAGAGGGATGGAGGACAGGGAGAGTGGGGTTTAAAGTCTGGAACTCTTTCCCTCAATCTCTCCGCCTTGCCCCCTCCCTCCCCACCTTCAAATCCTGCCTAATGACCTTCCTTTTTGATGGTGGTTACGGTCACCTCCCCCCTCCCTCTTCCTTTGGCTCGTTGTCAGACTCCGCCACTGTGAGGCACTCCCAAGATGCTACCCCGCGTGTAGGGAGTTGTGTAAATGCAAGTTGTAGTTGGAGGAGGGGGACCGAAAGCACGGTGCAAGAGGAGGGTCTTGAGACATGCCTTGAAGGAGGCAAGGGCGGGGGAGGCAAAGCGAGTGCGGGATTGAGACCAAAGGGCGGGGGGAATTGAGAGGCTGAAGGCCTGACAGTCGATGGTGGGGCGGGCGGGGGATGTGTCATTAGAGTTCTTCCTCCGCTCTTTTCCCAAACCACTTCCCAAAATATGTAGTGAACTTTGTTCACTGCATAACGCTTCACATCCAGTATGCAGCAACAATACTCAATTATGGAACTGCTTGGACTGTGTGTGTAGCTGCTTTGTGTTACTCTGGCTGCTTTTTGGCATTCTCAAGAGAGTTTTTAAATAGCCTCATAGTTTCGCATGGAAATGTTAACTTGCTAAAACCGGCTGAAGAATATTGTATTGAACATGCAATTCTCTGCTGCTAAAGCAGGGTCTTGAAACCATTTTAAACGGTCCCTCGTGCCTTCCGTTCCGCCATCAGCGGCTGCGCTCTCAGCCACTACGCCCCGAACAGTTCTTCAATCAAGATAGAGAAGGTCTTGCCCCCCTTCCTTCTCCATCTTCAGATCCCGCCTACGGTCACCTCCCCCCCCCCCCCCCGTCTCGGAGTCGTGCTCCACCATTGTCGAGCGCTCTGGGATGCTATCCTTTGTCTAGGCGCGCTGTATAAATGCAAGTTGTTGTTTTAAAAGGGAACTAGGTCAATGTTTTGAGAGAAGGGAGATTGAAACGCATGAAGGAGTGAACAGGAGGGTGGGAAGAGACTTGTATGGAGTGAAAATAAAACACACCAGCGCACACTTGATTTGCTAAATGGTAACATTCTCTAATTCCATGAACCTTTTCGCCATTTAAGTGTTTTCAAGTTCCTTCATGCCTTCGTACCTCCCTACCTATCTGATTTGCTGACCGCCCCCACCCGCTGCCTCCACACGGCCAGCTCCGAGTTTGACCCTATCCCTCTTCCCCCGGCTCGGGGTCAGACTCTGGGACGCTACCCAGCATGAAGGGTGCTACATAAATGCAAGTTGTTGTTGGTGTTGTTGAACAGTCATTGATTGAGCTGCAGTATTTGTTAAGACATACGCTGTGTGGAATGATAGTTTGTTGTCTTTTCTGTTGATTTAGAAAAATCGAAAAATCTCACTTCAAAATGTACTTTAAACGTCCGCTCAGCTTAGGGACTAATATATAGTTTGGGACATGACTTTTGCCTAGCAAATTCTTATGCTCTTATGTCATGTTTTCTGGACTAATATCTATCTCCTCTTTGGCTTCCAGCCTAAGAAGGGCGTGAAGAGGAAAGCTGACACGACGACCCCGACCACCATCGTCCCGGTGAAGAGCCGCGAGTCCTCTCCGCTGATGACTGAACCCAAACCCGCCAAGATCCCATCCAGAAGCGGCCGGCCCCCGAAGCCCACCAAGAAAGATGTGCCCGACTCCCAGCAGCAACATCTGGAGAAGAGTGGGGGTGGCGTCGTGGTCATTGGTGCAGGTGGGAGCCTGGGCGTCGGAGTTGGTGTCGGTGTTGGAATTGGTATTGGTGGTGGTGTGGTTGTCGGAGGAGGTGGAAACATTAAGGTCTCTGAACAGTTGAAATACTGTAGTGGCATTCTAAAAGAAATGTTTGCGAAGAAGCACGCAGCCTACGCCTGGCCCTTCTATAAACCCGTGGACGTCGAGGCCCTGGGACTGCACGATTATCACGATATTATTAAACACCCCATGGATCTCAGCACCATCAAAGTAAGTCAACCCTTAATCATCGTCTCTCTTTAAAATGTACCTTTTGAGGTTATTCATAATAATAATAATCGTTGCATTTGATACAGTGTCATGTCATCGAGACATCTCAAAGCGCCTCGCAGAATGTAATAATACTTGCATTTGAAACAGCGCCTGATGACATCGATGAGACATCTCAAAGCGCTTCACAGGATATACTGTAAAGTGGAGTGACTGTGTGTTTTGTTGGTGAAGCACGGCAGCCAATTGCGCACAGGAGCTTCCCCACAAACAGTCGTGGATTTGAGTAACCAAGTGTGTATGGGAGAGGACTATTGTGAAGTCCTGTAGCGTCGTGGTGAGCGGCTTTTAGTGATTCGGTTGGATTGTGAAGTTAATGGATAATAAAAATATAATAAACCTTGCATTTGATACAGCGCCTTATCGCGTCTTCCAGACGTCTCAAAGCGCTTCAGAGAATATACTGCAAAATGAATTGACTGTATATTTGTGGGCAAAACACGGTAGCCATTTGTGCACAGCAGCGTCCCACAAACCGTCGTGGATTGATCTGTTTTTTGTAGGTGATTTGGAATTATTTAATCTGGCTCTGATAATTATAAGATGTCCGCTTGGCTCAGTTGGTCGCACTCTTGCCTCTGGGGCAGGAAATTGCAGGTTCAAGCCCCACTTTGGGGCTTTGAACTCACAATCCAGGCCGAGATTCTGGAGAAATGCTGAGGCTCGGGAGCAGCGTGGCATTGACTTGCTGTCCTTTGATGAGATGTTAACCCGAGTTCCCGTTTGCCTGTTCAGTGGAAGTTAAAGATCCCAAGCACTATTCGAAAAGAGTAGGAGTTTCTCTCTCTCTCTCTCTTGGCTGACAATCCCCCCAAATGAAATTGGTCACTCGTGGCTGTTTGTGGGACGTTGCTTTGTGCAAATGAACTGCCGCATTCATCTCCAAAATACAGTCGTGATAAGGCTCGTGAGACGTGACTCAGTTGTTTAGTTTGGTACTGTTCTGCATTGCCCCCTCCTTCCCCATCTTCAGGTCGCGCCTGAAGACGTCCCTCTTCGAAAGTGCCTACGGTCAACTCCCCCGGCTGGGTGTCGTGCTCCACCACTGTCGAGCCCTCTGGACGCTAGCCTGCGTGAGGGCACTGTGTAAATGCAAGTTGTTCTTGTTGTCTTTGTCACTTGAGGAGAACGCAATTATAGTTTTCTTAACGACAAGTAGATTTGTCGGGCATTTTAGAGTTGAAGCGTTTGTTTTTCGAGCCCAGAAGCTAGATTTAAGAAGTGATATGTTCTCTTGTTTGAGTTAAAATGAGTAAATTTAAGTAATTAAGTTGAATTGCACATTTCACCCACAAAATATGCAGTCGATTCACTTCACGGTATCCTGTGAAGCGTTTTGAGATGTCTCGAAGACGTGATATGGCGCAATATCAATTTCAAGAATTATTATTATTATTTGTGCTGGAAATTACTCTGAAATTCTACGTAATATTCACTTCCTTTCGATTTATTCTCATTTTATGAAGCGCTTTGAGATTTGATTTAACATGAAAAGTTCAGTATAATTGTCAGTTCTGCTGGTTGTTGGTTCAGAGTAAAAGGTTCTTTGTTTTGGGATATAAAATAGATATACAGTCGAGTCTTGTTACACTGGTAAAATGGACTTTTGTGAAAGAGCTGATTTCACTGCTCAAGGCTGATCCAGAACGTTATCCAGCGCACGTTGCAGGAATCTGTCCCCCTCCTTGCCCTTTACACTGTTATTTTGCCAGTCTACGTTAGGAATAATTGAAGTCCCCCATTATCTCTACTCTATTGGTTTTCTGAAATCTGCTGCAGATTCGCTCATCTGTCTCCTTCCCACTATTTGATGGTCTTTAGTATACACTTAACAGAGTAACAGTTCCTTTTCTGCTCCTTAACGCTAACCCAATAGATTCTCTTGTCGGACCCTCCCGCACATTATCCCTTTCCAGGACCGTAACCGTGTCTTTAATCAATATTACCGCCCACCACACCCCTCCTTTTATTCCTTCCCTATCCCTCCCGAATACCTTGTAGCCAGGAACATTCAGCTCCCATTCCTGCCCTTGTTTGAAGCATGTTTCTGTTATTGCCACTACATTATAACCCCACGTGGCAACTTGAGCCACAGCTCACCAATCTTTTGTCACGCTCCATGCATTTACGCACTTTCACCCCAAGACCGACTGAGTCTGCCCTGCGCTTCTCCCCTGTCTAATCCCTCCTTTTCCTGGATTACTCTTTATTACGTTGCTATTTGTCTCTCCCGGCCCTCTATGTAACTTGTTTCTCCTCTCCGATGCTGCATCCTGATTCCCTCCTCCCCTCGAAATTAGTTTAAACCCTTCCCCACAGCTGGTTAACCTCCCTGCGAGGACATTGATTCCCACCTCGCGCAGGTCCCAGCCCCCAGAACCGGTTCCAATGTTCCAGGAACCTGAAGCCCTCCTTTTTTACACCATTTCTCCAGCCATACATTCATGTGTTTGATCCTGCTGTTTTGATGGAGGACGCGGTCGAAGCGGAGGGTCTTGAGACGCGCTTTGAAGGAGGCAAGGGAGGAAGCGAGGCGGAGGGAATGTGGGATGGAGTTCCAAAGGATGGGGACAGAGAGGCTGAAGGCCCGACCGTTGATGGCGGGGCAGGCCGGGTGGGGGACGTGGAGCCCGCTGCTGAGCGGAGTGAGCGGATGGTTTGATATGGCGTTTGCAAGTCACAGGCGTAGGACAAAGTAAGTCTGTGGAGGGCAGCAATAGTCAAGATTGCAATAGAAACCAGTTGCGTTAGAACTCCTCTTGATCAGTAATCCATTTAAACCACATTGTATTTTAAAGCTCAAACAACTTCAGTCTTTAGACTCTTGCTGTCTGTCGCTCAGCGATTCTCTTTAAATGATTAATCTCAGCAGATTCACCCACCCAGCAATTTGAATTGCATTGTTGAAGAGTTATGCTAATTGTGTTTAGAAGTACTATTGAAGCACGACTGTTAACTTTACTCCCAAATGTGGGCGAAACTCGATCCACGACTGTTTGTGGGACACTGCTGTGCGCAGTTGGCTGCCATGTTTCACGTTTCACCCTTTTAACTTTTACAGTCCTATTCTGTGAAGTGGTTTCAAGCCTCTCAGTCATGATAAGGCGCTATATCAAATGCAAGAATTATTATTATGAATGGCCTTAAACCGAGTTTGAGGATAATCACTTTAGTGTTACTTTGAGGAAGTTGAACAAATGAGGAAGTTTTCAGTTTTGTTGTGAGTTAATGGTTATTATTTATTAATATTATTCTTAGCAGTAAGTAGGAACCCAATTGTTAGTCAATTGGAGGATTGCTTTTCCAGGGGTAATAATCCCTCCAAAAATAAATAATAATTTGGTCACTCGATCCACAACTCTTTGATAGTTTGAAGATAGTTTGAGAGGTTTACAATATACATTTGTATGGCGCCTTTCACGTCGGGAGGACGTCCCAAGGTGCATAACCCTCAAGTCGTACGAGTTGGGACCAAACCATAGATGGTCAACACCACGGGGCAGCAGCTGAGGACTGGACTGGGTTTAGAGTGAGCCAGTCACCTGGTGGTACACCAAGCCACACGAGGAAGGCAAATATCAAATGCAAGGATTATTTATTGTTGTTATTGGTCTGGGATGTCCTCCCGATGTGAAAGGCGCTATACAGATGTAGTCTTGTTGATGATGTTGTTGTATGAGTTTCACTGTATAAGGGTAACCCTGTAATAAGGCACCAAAGTTGGCTTTGGTGCTCGCACTGTCTGATCCCAATCGAACTTCACCCTATGTGGATTTACACCATCCACCCAGTTTCTCGAGAGACAGAATGAGAGATGTCCCACTTTAACAGTTGTGTCCCATTTAATGTGTAACTGGTGTTTGCGCAGCAGTGGTTGTGATTTCCTAAGGCAGGGCGAAATACTGGGCAAGTTTCCTTACTCCACTCGCCTCTGTTTACCAAGGAGTAAGTAAAAAGCTGGTTGTTAATCGATTGGCGGATCACTTTGGGGGATAATAATCACTCAAAAAATAAAAAGGCAATAATAATTTGGTCACTCAATCCACGACTGTTTGTGGGAACGCTGCTGTGCGCAATTGGCTGCCGCGTTTCGCCCCCAATTGTACAGTCAATCCACTTTACAGTATATGCTGTGAAGCGCTTTGAGACAACCAGAAGACGTGAGAAGCGCTATATCAAATGCAAGGATTATTGTTGAGAAGAAGCCGTTTAAAAGGACATTAGAGAGACGCAAGATAAGTCATCGCTCCGAGGGAAAAGACCTCATTGACAAGTTATCAGGAGCACCAAATTAGGCTTTTGTATAAATACACAAATAAGTGCGTGTGGGATCTTGACAGCATAATGACTAAGTGAGGGTGATCCATCTGGTGACCCACGGGCCGATTTCATCCATGATTCTATGTGTTGTGAAATCTAACCTGTGATACGGATTGTTGGTATTCACAGCACTTAAGTGGTGTTTGGGGCGTTTGTAAAATAAATACTCATTGCAGTGAAAATAAGGACCGATCTTTATTAATTGAATGACGATTAGTTGTACACGTTCCTCAGATTAAAAATCACTGATGGTAGCAAACACTTAATCTGCTAATTATACATTTTCAAGTACTCTTATCTATTTATACTGTATCTGTATTATGGCAAAATGTTAGGCACATTTCCTCACTCCACCCCCCCCCCCCCCCTCACTTTTAACTAGCAGTAAATAGGAGCACAGTTGTTAGTCGATTGGCTGATCGCTTTTCCGGGGGTAATGATAAAAAATATTGGGTCACTCAATCCACGACAGTTTGTGGGACACTGCTGTGCGTAATTGGTTGTCGTATTTTGCCCACAAACAGTCAATTCACTTTACAGTATATCCTGTGAAGCGCTTTGAGACATCTTAAAGACGTGATGTGGCGCTATATCAAACGCCAGGATTATGCTTCGTACCACATGTTTTAAGATTTTGATATAGTATTTTCAGAGGAAGATTTAGAGTTGCAAAAGCCACGTGTTCGATGTTGATGCACTTTGTAAACATCGTGCTCGTTTCTTCATCTCCCTGAGATTTGGGAGAGAGAAAGTCCGATGAAACACTTAAGCCTGACCTTTGAAACTCCTTACGAGGAGTATTAAAGATTGAGCTTTCACATGGGATTCGTATGTTCGTTGAAAGGCAAAAATAATGATCACATACGTCTTTACAACCAGCATTTTTCATATGAACTTTGGGGGAAGATGAGGAAATGTTTTCACCGTTAATTAATCATTTATATCTTGTCGGTCAGGTAATTGCCACCTAGCAAGTATTGTGTTAATCAGAAAATCCATTTGCTCAGTATATACTTACACTTCACACTACTGCGCATAACTGTCTGCCACGTTTCGCCCACAAAATATACCGGTCAATTCACTCTAGAGTGTATCCTGTGAAGAGCTTTGAGACGTCCCGAAGACATGATAAGGCGATATATCAAATGCAAGGATTATTATTATTTCATAGGATGTTTACAGCACAGAAGCTGACCATAGGATTCTGATTGTTATTTGTAATAAAAAGATTTTTTCAAAAGTCCCATTTTTCTATTGTGTTTCTAGACAAAATTGGACAGTAAACAGTACGGCGACGCTCAGGAATTCGCCGCAGATGTTCGGTTGATGTTCTCCAATTGTTACAAATACAACCCTCCCGATCATGAGGTTGTGGCCATGGCACGCAAACTGCAGGTTGGTGAGAGTCATTACATTGAATTGATTGTGAACGTTAATAATAATTTGGTCACTCAATCCACGACTGTTTGCGCTACGCTGCTGTGTGCAATTGGCTGCCGCGTTTCGCCCACAAAGTATACAGTGGATCCAGTTCACAGTATATTCTGTGAAGCGCTTTGAGACGTCTCGGAGATGTAATAAGGAGCTGCAATCAAATGCAAGTATTATTATTTCACACCAGTATCTTACTGCTCTGTTCCCCCAGCAGTAAGTAGTGTTTAGTCAATTGGTGGATCGCTTTTCCGGGGGTAATAATCCCTTCCAAAAAAAATAATAGTATCCTGTGCACAATTGGCTGATGCGTTTCACCCACAAAATATTACAGTCAAATCACTTTGCAGTATATCCTCTGAAGCGCTTTGGGATCTCTAGACTCTGTACCCACATCTCACCAGTTCTGGCCAGCCTCCACTGACCATCATCGAACGGATCAACTTCAAGATCCTCACACTTGTGGTTCAAATCCCTTCACTCTCTGGCACCTCCCAACTTCTCCAACCTCCTCACTCCCCAATCCACCACCAGGCGCCTCCACTCGACTTGCACCGGCCTCCTGCTCGTCCCTCGCACCCTCCCCAGCATCGGAAGTTGGGCTTTCAGCCATTGCGCCCCGAAACTCTGGAACACTCTCCCTCAATCCTGCTGCCTTGCCCCCTTTTCCAAGTCCTGCTTGAAAGCCCTCCTCTTCGACTGTGCTTACAGCACTCTCCCCACTCTCCCGCCGGCTTCGATTTCAAGATCCTCATCCTCACCTACAAGGCCATTCATGGTCTTGCTCCCTCCTACCTCTCCGACCTACTATCCCCCTACCTACCTGCCCATACCCTCCGTTCCTCTGGCTCTGGTCTGCTTCACATCCCCCGCCCCAACCGCCCTACCATCGGGGCCGGGCTCTCAGCCCCGAGGCTCTGGAACTCTATCCCCCAGTGCCTTCGCCGCCTCCTCCCTTTCCTCCAAGGCCGGTCTCAAGATCTTTCTCTTTGACCGTGCCTTCAGCTCCCCTCTCGACTCTCTAATCCCTCCTCGCTCCCTCCCTTCCCTCCCTTCACCCTGACCATTTCCCCCCTGCTCGGGTCCTCACCCAACTGTACAGCGACTTGGGACGCCCTCCCAACGTGAAAGGCGCTCTATAAATGGAATCTTGTTGTTGTTGTTGTGTTGTTGCTGTTAAGCTCTCTGAGACGCTACCACGGCTGGAGGGTGTTGTATAAGTGCAAGTTGTTGTTGTTGTTGTAGACCATATAAGACGTGATATCAGCTGCAAGGATGATTATTATTATTTTTATTGTTGTTGTTGTGCTGTTGGTTTGGTTCCAGGACGTGTTTGAGATGCGTTTCGCAAAGATACCAGATGAGCCTGTTGAACCCGTGGTTCCATCACCTCCTCCTGTGCCGCCTCCTGCCACCCAGGCCTCCTCTTCCTCCTCCAGCGACAGCAGCAGTGACAGCTCATCCGACAGTGACAGCAGCACAGACGACTCTGAGGAAGAACGGGCACAGAGACTGGCTGAGCTACAAGAACAGGTGAATTGAAAGGACCAGGGGCCACAGATCCCATAGGACAGGGTGGTTGGTCCAAATGGTGGCCGATTTCATCCACCCCCCCACCCATCGTTCCCCTCTCAACAAGGTGGAGTCCTGTAGCGCAGTGGTTAGAGCGCTCGTCTCACAAGCGAGAGGACCTGTGTTCGATTCCCGGCTGGGTGAAAAGTTGGGCAAGTTTCCTTACCCCACACACGTACGCAGTTCAACTAGCATTAAGTAGGAACCCGGTTGTTAGTCTTTTGACAGATCGCTTTTCCGGGGATAATAATTCCTTCAAAAAAAATAACAATCATTTTGTCACGGCTGTTTGTGGGACACTCTTGTATGCAATTGGTTGCTGCGTTTGGCTCACAAAATACAGTCACTACATTTTACAGTATATTCTGCGAAGCTCTTTGAGACGTCTGACACGAAGACGTGATAAACGCAATGTCAAATGCAAGGATTATTATTATTATTACAAGCAACTTGCATTTATACAGCGCCCCTCGTGCAGGGTAGTGTTCCAAAGTGCTTGGTTTCGTTTCAGGACATGTTTCAGACGTCTCAAAACATTTTATCTGCCCACCCGCCCCCTGCATAACCTGTAAATGTTACGTTATGTTTTCTGGACGGGAAACACAAAAATATTACTTGTATAGCGCAAACATTTCTCAAATAGGGCATCTGGCCCTCAGCAGCCACAAGGTTGGACTCCTCCACCTTAGGACATGGAATCATAGAATCATACAGTACAGAAGAAGGCCATTCAGCCCATTGTGGCTTTATTGGCTCTTTGAAAGAGCTTCCAACTCATTCCATTCCCCTGCTCTTACCCCACAGCCCCACACATTTTTCCTTTCTCTGCAGCCGTCAGTGCGTTCCAGACCGTAACAAGTCTGGGTAAAAAAAAATTCTCCTCACCTCTGGTTCTTTGGCCAGCGATCTTAAATCGGTGTCCTCTGGTTAACGATCCATCCACCCGCCAGAGGAAGCAGTTTCTCTCTATTTACTCTTTATCAAAACCCCCATAATTTTGAACACCTCAGTTAAGTCTCCCCTTAACCTTGTCTGCTCGAAGGAGAACAATCCCAGCCTCGAGTCTCTCCAAATAATTGAAGTTCCTCATCCCCCACTGGTTAGGCCTCGGCTCGAGACTGTGTTCTTTTCTGGGCACCACACTTTAGGAAGGATGTCAAGGCATTGGAGAAAGTGCAAAGGAGATTGACCAGGATGGTACCAGGAATGGGGGACTTCAGTTATCAGGAGAGGTGAGAGAAGCCGGGATTATTCTCCTTGGAGCAGAGAAGGTTAAGAGGAAACTTAATAGAAGTTTTCAAAATGAAGAAGGGATTCGATAGGGTGAACAGGGAGAAACTATTCCCACTGGCGGGTGGGTCGGTAACCCGAGGACACCGGTTTAAAATAGTTGTTAAAAGAAACAGAGGGGAGAGGAGGGGAGGAGAAATGTTTTCACACAGCGAGTTGTTGGGATCTGGAATGCATTGCCTGAAAAGGTGGTGGAGGCCAATTCGATAACGGCTTTGAAGAGAGAAGCAGATAATTATTTGGGGGGACAAGTTTGCAGGGATATGGGGAGAGAGCGGGGGAGTGGGATTGATTCGGAAGCTCTTTCCAAAGAGCCGACACAGACATGATGGGCTGAATGGCCTCCCTCCTGTGCTGTATCATATTATGATTCTATGATTCCCTGGTACCGTGCAAGATAGACTTGCCCAGACCAGTGGGGAGCATTGCCCAAGCATGTCTCACAGCGGCCAGGCTGCAGACACACACGCCTGTGTACTCTTGAGGCTAGGAAGAAACCTGAGGAGTGTGTTTTGATAATCGGAATCCGGAGATTCCTGTCAGAGGATATAATTAATAATAATATTCCTTGCATTTAATATGGCGTCTTATCACGTCTTCGAGACGTCTCAAATCCCTCCACAGAATATACCGTAAAGTGAATTGACTGTATTTTGTGGGCGAAACCCGGCAGCCGATTGCGCACAGCAGCGTCCTGCGAACCGTTGTGGATTGAGTGACCAAAATATTATTTTTAAAAAAAAATTTATGAAGGGATAATTATCCCTGGAAAGACCATCCGCCACCGAACTGGCTTTTCAACCTCTCCGTGGAGGTGATGTGCAGCAGTGTTTTGCCACAATTCATTTATTTTAAATAAAGCAAAGCTGATGTTGTTTCTGAAACGTACCGAAATGTGTAATTAATTTGGATTGGCATCCGTCACGAGAAAGCAATTCAAGTTGATTCCTTTTGCTGGACACTGGTGCGCAATTGGCTGCTGCATTTCGTGCAATATATTTCCTTGACAGAATATTCTGTGAAGCGCTTTGAGATCTCTCAATCATGTGATAAGATGCTATATCAAATCCAACGAGTATTATTATTATAATTTTTTCCATCACCATTTAATGGGAGCAAATTGGAGCCAAATACCTTCTATCCATTCCTCAACCCACTGCCCAGACCTTGACAATATTCTGTAGCGATGAATATTCGTACTTTACTGAACACGTTTGAGGTCACAGTGTTGAGTTTTTATTTAGTGCTTACCCCCACCCTCCTTGCCCTCCACCCCTGATCCCAACCCTCAGCTCGGATCCAAATCCCTGACTGTCCAGTGCCCCACAGCGTCTGTACTGACAACAACAAATAATTGCATTTACACAGAGCCTTTCAAGTCGGGATGACGTCCCAAGGCACTGGACAGTCAGGGATTTGGACCCGAGCTGGGGATTGGGATCAGGGGTGGAGGGCAAGGAGGGTAGGGGTAAGAGGGTGGCTGAAGAGGAGGGTCTTGATGATGTGCCTTGAGGGAGGGAGCGAGGTGGAGGGACTGTGGGATGACGTTCCAAAGGGTGAGTCAGAGAAGCTGAAGGTCAAATTCTTTACATTGCGATTGCCTGGTCTCATGTTGGGAGGGCAGTGTCAGGATATTGGACACCTATCAAATATCCTGGGAGGTTGAGTCACTCAGTTGACTGAAGCATGTCGCTTGTAGAAGGTAGCGGACCATGATTTTGGAAGGGAAGTGAGGGGTAATAAAGTTGTATTGTTTTATTTACTGCCTTCCAAGTACGTGCAAATGCCGGATGTCTCGCATCAAAGGCGCAGACTTGCCAACGGTCAATTTAAAAGGTGGCAAACCAGATTTTTAGCATGTAAAGTGAACAAAATGTATTCGCATGTTGAATTTTAACTGACATTTGGGGCCACATTTGGTGTGTGTTGGGGGAGAGGAACTAAAGAGACACAAGTTCCTCTTGTAATTAATGTCAGTGCAAGTATCTGGGTTACTTGTTTCTCCTCTGGCCCCACATTTCTTTAATGCAATGTGCTGGAGTTTGTGCTGGACAGTAAATTGCTGGTGTGTAAGTGGAGAGAGGATGAACTATTGCAGTATGAATGCGATGAGGGGCTGAACGGTCTCATCCTGTTCCCATTGCACCACCCATCATTGTGGAGTCCTGGAGCTCAGTGGTTAGAGCACTCGCCTCGCAAGCGAGAGACCTGGGTTTGATGCCCGGGCCGGGCGAAATGTTGGGCAAGTTTCCTTACTCCACACGCACGCCTCTGTTTACGTAGCAGTAAGTAGGAACCCGGTTGTTAGTCGATTGGCGGATGGCTTTTCCGGGAGTAATAATTCCTTTTAAAAAAAATAATCATAATAATTTGGTCACTCAGTGCACAACTGTTTGTGGGCATCTGCTGAGTGACATTGTAAACCAACTTTACACTGTTCCACATGGAAAAGCTTAATTAGCAGCTACTTGCAAGCCAACATAGTGTGGGGACTGTATCAAATTAAGATTATTATTATCTTGTACGAACTGTAGCTGGAAGCGAACTGCAAGGTATTAGTTGCATCTTGGCGTCTCAACGGTCATTAGCAACCTGAGCTACACTGTTGTGTCACCTGAGCTCCTCAGTGAAATCGATGACTTGTAACTTCTCCCGTGTCTTGTCTGCTCCATGTATTATTTGTAATGCAGCCAGGGCTGGGGCAGTGATTCAGCATTGCAACGTGGCTTGTAAAGTAGAGGCTGAATGTGAAGGATCTGGAGGAGCTGGGGAAGGGAACGGAGGTCCTGTTGAGACAGAGTAATACCTGAAGCAAATTTTCTATAATGTGGAGTCCTGTAGCTTAGTGGTTAAGAGTACTCGCCTTGCAAGTAAGAGGACCCAGGTTGGAGTCCCAACCAGGGCGAAACCTTAGGCAAGTTTCCTTACTCCACACACACACACACACACACACACACACACGTGCGCGCCTGTTGACCTAGTAGTAAATAGAAAACCCGGATAACTTTAATAATTTCTTCAACTAAATAATAATTTGGTCAATCAGTCCAAACTCTTTGCGGTACACTGCTATGTGCAATCAGCTGACGCGTTTCGCCCACAAAATCATAGTGAATTCACTTTGCAGAAGCGATTTGAGACGTCTCAATGACGTGATAAGGCACTGTACAAATGCAACGATTATTACTTACACCACGCAAAAATGCTGTGGATATAGAGCGAATGCAGGTTTTTTTTTGTTGACAATTTTTGTCTGCTGAAGGTGCAGATGTTTCCTGGAAATTATCAGGTGCTTGTTACCTAATGGGACATCCTCTTGACGTATCACGTCTTCGAGACGTCTCAAAGCGCTTCACAGGGTATACTCGTACAAATCTGATCTGCATAAATCGTCTAATCGCCTAAGTCGTACATTTATCTGCCCAAGTCCTGTTCAAGAGTTTATATTCTGAGCAAGTTTGACATAACTCATACTTTGCATAAGTTATATTTCGCCCAGAAAATATTCAGTCAATTCACTTTTTACGGTATATCCTGTGAAGCACTTTGGGATGTCTCAACAATGTGATAAGGCGCGATATCAAATGCAAGGAGTATCACACTAAAATACTACATATTTACTTGGAGGTCTCTTGCTGCACGTATAACCTAACTTTCACAAGCCTGTTTGTGTCGTGCAGTTGAAAGCGGTACATGAGCAGCTGGCTGCCCTTTCCCAACCACAACTGTCCAAACCAAAGAAAAAGGAGAAAGACAAGAAAGAAGAGAAGAAGAAAGAGAAAGAAAAGGAAAAGGAGAAAGAGAAGGAAAGGCACAAAAAGAAAGAGGAGGTGGAGGTGGAGAAGAAGAAGAGCAAAGCTAAGGATACGCAGCCAAAAAAGTCAAAGAAAAACAGTGCAAATAGCAGGTAAGCTAATCATAATTTGGTCCCTCAGTCGATGACTGTTTGTGGGACGCTGCTGTGCGCAATTGGCTTCCGCGTTTCACCCACAAAATATACAGTCACTAGACTTTACAGTTTATTCTGTGAAGCACTTTGAGACGTCTCAAAGACGTGATAAGGAGCCATAGCAACTGCAAGTGTTATTATAAGCTTATTCTGCAGTTTCACTGACTGGTAGTGCTCTTTGTACACTAACTAAAAGTCCTGTAGATTAGTCGTTAGAGCACTCGCCTCGCAAGCAAGAGGAGCCAGGTTCGATTCCTGGGCAGAGCGAAACTTTAGGCAAGTTTCCTTACTCCAAACACACTCCACAGTGAATAGAAACCTGGTTGTTAGTCAACTGGTGGATCTCTTTCCGGGGAGTAATAATCCCTTCAAAAAAATAACAACAGTGTGGTCACTCAATCCAAGACTGTTTGTGGGACGCTGCTGTGCACAATTGGCTGCTGCGTTTCGCCCACAAAATATGCAGTCAGTTCACTTTACGGTACATTCTGGGACGTGCTCTGGGGCGTCTCGAAGACGCGATGAGGAGCCATATCAAATGCAAGGATTATTATTAATATTATTTCGGCAAATGCTGTTTAAACATTGTCGGGATGTCCGCACAGTGCGGTTATTTATTTGCAAGTTCAGTTGTTTTCTTCGAGACATATCGAAGACGTGCTGATGCGCTATATTGAATGCACGGATTATTATTGTTGTTGTTATTAAACAACCTGCACTTTGTGCACTGGCTTTCTGCAGGGTGGGTTTTAATTCCGTCCCCATTTTCTTCTCCGCAGAAACCTGAAGAACAGCAAACCTGGTCCTGTGTATGACTCTGAGGAGGAAGACAAATGCAAGCCCATGACGTACGAGGAGAAGAGGCAGCTGAGCCTGGATATAAATAAACTTCCCGGCGACAAATTGGGCCGAGTCGTCCACATCATACAGTCCCGCGAGCCCTCGCTGAGGAACTCAAACCCCGACGAGATTGAAATAGACTTTGAGACGTTAAAACCCTCCACGTTGCGAGAACTGGAGCGATACGTTACATCATGTTTACGGAAAAAGGCGCGGAAACCTCAAGGTAAGGGCTGTTCCTACTGGCTGGCAGAGAGAGAGAATGATTCATTACGTTCAATTCATTTCACCTCATACGTTTCAATCATTCCTTAAGTCTCTTATGCAACAATGGATCATCCTACCTGTCTCCTCCCCTCCTTACCGTGACATTCGGTATCGTGCATCCTTCACCTAGTCTTCCCTCCTTCTCATACTTACTTACCAGCTCATCATAAGAGCATAAGAATTTGCTAATCGAAAGAAGTCCGAGGCCCATCTCATTTTCGTTTCACCATGTCGCTTGCACATGTCGTGTCCCAAACTATATACTGTATCCCAAGATACTATTTTCTAACAGAAATCTTATCACATTTATTCTTGAAAGAATCGACACTTACTGCTGTTCGTGATATGCAAGTCTGCCTTTTTTCTTGGCTATTTTTCCCCTACTCTAGGATTGCCTTCATTCCCATGAGGTTGCTTTGACAGCCTGGCTGGGATGCTGGATGTTTGGCACCGAGCCTGTTTTGTGGAGTGGGAAGCAATATCTCTGGATGATGAGTTGTCCGTTTTTCCTGATCAATATTGATGGGGTTTGCTATTTACCTTGAAAGTTTGGATATGTTAGCACCCTCCTTCCCCTTCAGGTCACGTCCAAAGAACTTCCTCTTCGACTGTGCCTATGGTCACCTTCCCCCGGCTCTATGTCGTGCACCACCGTCAAGGGCTCTGGGACACTAACGTGCTTGAGGGGTGCTATGTTGTTGTAAAAAAAAGTCTTCAATAATGATTTGTAGCAGTAATCATTGTCAACTGCAATCGATCTGTTCCTAGAATCACAGAATTCTACAGCGCAGGAGAAGGCCATTCGGCCCATCGTGCCAGTGCCAGCTCTTTGAAAGAGCTTTCCAAATTAATCCCACTCACTGCTCTCTCCCCATAACCCTGCAAATTTGTCCTCCCCAAATATCTATCTAATCAAGGGCATGTTTTGCTTTTATTTTTGACTCGTGTACCCAGCTACCAAATCGAGCCAGTGTGGTTTCTCATTACAATAGGATGCTTCTGTTCCGTTGACTGTCGCATCTTTACTGCCCGATGCACACGCTTAAAAATAGACTCGACCCGTAAGGGCACAGTGGAATCAGGCTGTGCTACCAGCTGCTGAATAGCTGGATGTTTGAGCGTGATGAGTACTGCCTGCCCGTGCTGTGAATTACATGCCGTTTCCTTTGGCAGACAGTGGTGCTGATTTTACTCAAGTCTGTTGCTGACATAGTCAGGTCTTTCTTCTGCCTGGCTCCAGCCTCCTGCTTGTCCCTCGTGTACTCCTTTCCACCATCGGTGGATGCTCTTTCAACCACTACTCCCCAAAACTTTGGCACACTCTCCCTCTTACCCCCCTTCCTTCCCCATCTTCAGGTCGTGTCTGAAGACCTTCCTCTTCGACTGTGATAGTCCCCCTTCAGGGACACTAGCCTGCGTGAGGGACCCTGTGTAAATGCAAGTTATTATTTTCGTTGCCTACACCTCTTCCATGCTTTCTTTCATATACTGAACCAACAATAAGAATCGACTAAGGAATTAAGTTCCATTTTTCACTCAATCCCCCGATCGTTTCTCTGCTTCAAAGGCCATTGTTATTCCGTTTGAGTGTTGGGTCCGTGTGTGAGAAACAGTGGCTAAATAACACTTGGAGAGGCTTGAAGCGTGCGCGAGCCTCTTTGTGCTTTTAAGATGACGCTCAAAGTATTTTCAAGCAACAGATGGCCAAACACGAGATTATCACCATGGAATTTGAGACAAACTTTACTGACCAACACTTGGCCGTTACAGTATGTCCCAGTCTCCTGGCCTCACTCAGTGTGATGCAACTCTCTCTCCTCCCCCTTCAAGCCAGTCTTGATGCTCTGTAGTTCTCTCCTACCTCCTTTCCCTTCGTTCTGTGAGAAACATTTGTACATTTTCAGTCATTTTAATCGTAGGATCTTATTTCACGGGACCTGCTGACGATTCTCAAATAGGGCATTCGACCCTCAGCAGCTAAAAGGTTGGAACAACCCAGCCATAGGACATAGAATCTTACAGCACATAAGGGGACCGTTCGGCCCATCGTGCCTGTGCCGGCTGTTTGAAAGAGCTACCAACTGGTCTAACTCACTCATTCTTACCTCATACCCCTGCAAGTATTTCCTTTTCAAGTACCTCTCCGATTCCCTCTTGAAAGCTATTATCGAATCTGCTTCCACCACACTTTCAGGCAGTGTATTGTAGACCATAAAAACTCTCTGGGTTTTTTAAAAAAAAAAATCCTCGTCTCCGCTCTGGTTCTTTTGCCAATTATCTTAAATCTGCGTCCTGTTTTTCAACCATTTTTGTAAAGAGAACCCGACGAGAAAGCAGCTGCTAAGCTTTCACGTTCATCCTGCTCTTTTCCCTTTCCCCCCCACCACACCATGATGGTCGTGTGGATGTTGTCACTGTCAGTCATAGCAGTACTGGTTGTGTTAGTCTTTGTGAACGTGTTTGCCAACTTAAGCACAGTACAGTTGGTTTGAATGATCTGCTCTCATGACATCCTCGTTCCACCCATGTTTGGGGACACAAAGTGGAGGGTGTCTGTCGTGTATCTTATCCCAAGTGTCAAAACGCTGGCTGCTTATTCAGACGTATTTAATTTCCTTCGTAATAACAATGATGATCCTTGAATTTGATATAGCGCTTTTCACGTCTCCGAGACGTAATAATTAATATGCTTCACTTCGCCTGTTAAATTGTATTGCTAACCCCTTAACCAAACTGTCCTCTGGCAGAGTAGTGATGCCATGATCATGATACAATGGTAATAAGCCTTTGGCAATTATACGTTGGGGGTTTGTGATGGCTTAGAGAGAAATAATAATGGATGGCATCACAGGAGTCATGGAATAGAATCCTGGAATCTTATAGCACAGAGGGAGGCCATTCGGCCCATCGTGTCTGCGCCTCATCTTTAGAACAGCTATCCAATCAGTCCCACTTTCCCTGCTCTTTCCCCATGTCCGTGCAAATTTTTCCTTTTCAAGTATCTATCCAATTCGCTTTTGAAAGTTGTTATTAAATCTGTTTCCACCAGCCCCTTCAGGCAACAACAACAACAACTTGGATTTATATAGAGCCCTCCACGCCGGACGGCATCTCAGAGCGGGTACTGTTTTGAGGAGAGAGGAGGTCAGAGAGGTAGGGGGTTGCAGAGGAGTGGAGGGATTTGAAGACGAGGTTGAGGATCTTGAGTCGATCCTCTCTGGGATAGGCAGCCAGTGCAGTCTGGCCAGGACTGGGGGAATCTGGGAGCGGAGTTTCGTGTGGGTGAGAATGCGGGCGGCAGAGTTTTGAATGATTTGGATTTTATGGATGGTAGTCGGTGGGAGACGGGCGTTAGAGTAGTCCAGTCGAGAGGTGACAAAGGCATGGACCAGGCTTTCAGCGGCTTTTGGGGAGAGGTATTGGCGGAGATGGGCAATGTGTCGGAAGTGGAAGAAAGCGGTGCTGGTGAGGGACCAGATGTGGGGGAGGAAGGATAATTGGGGGTCGAACCTGTCGCCTAGGTTGTGTACGGGTTCGGAGAGTTTTAGGGGGAGGTCGAGGAGGTGAGAGCCGTGAGATTTTAGACGTTGACGAGAGCCAAAGATGGATCCTTGGGGTACCCCGCAGGTGACCGGGTGAGAGCGGGAGGAGAAGCCGTTTGTGCAGAATTACTGCTGGCGGTTTGTGAGGTAGGACTCGAACCAGGCCAGTGCGGTCCCACTGAGGTGGATGACGGAGGAAAGGCGGTGGAGGAGGATGGCGTGATCGACTGTGTCGAACGCCGCAGCGAGGTCCAAGAGGACAAGGAGGCAGTGGGAGCCCTGGTCACAGATAGAGAGGATGTCGTTTGTGACTTTCCCAAGCACAGTCTCTGTACTGTGGGCGGTGCGGAAACCGGATTGGAGGGCATCGAAGAGGAGAAGGCAGTGCATTCCAGACTGTAACAGCTTTCTGTAATAAAAAGGTTTCTCCTCATCTCCCATCTACTTCTTTTGCCAATTAGCCCAAATCTATGTCCTCTGCTTACTCTCCCACCCACCAGAGGAAGCAGTTTCTCCCTTAACTACTCTTATCAAACCCTTCCTAATTTTGAACACCTCTATTAAATCTCCCCTATTCGAGACATTTCAAGGCGCTTCACGGAATATACTGTAAAATGAATCGACTGTATATTTTGTGGGCGAAACGCGGCAGCCAATTGCGCAGAGCGCTGTCCCACAAACAGTCGTGGATTGAGTGACCAAATTATTATTTATTTTGAAGGAAATATTAGGCCCGGAAAAGCGATCCCCCAAATAGACGAACATCCGGGTTCCTACTCACTGCAAGGTAAACAGAGGCGGGTATGTGTGTGTGGAGTAGGGAAACTTACCTAAAGGTTTCCTCTACCGGGAATCAAACCCAGGTCCTCTCGTTTGCGCGGCAAATGCTCAAACTACTAAGCTACGGGACTCTTTAAGAACTGAGGAGAACAATCCCAATCATTCCAAATAATTTAGTTTATTTTTAAATGAATAAACTTGTAAATAAGTAAATAAAATAAATAAACAAAAGTGCCCTTCAAAACCACCAAGATTTTTATTCTTTGGTTACGATTAATAATAATAATCCTTGCATTTGATATAGCGCTTTTCACGTCTTCTCGACGTCCCAAAGCGCTTCACACAATATACTGTAAAGTGAATTGACTGTATATTTGTGGGCGAACGCGGCAGCCAATTGCGCACAGCAATGTCCCACAAACAGTCATGGATTGAAAATGACCAATTTATTATTTTTTGGGAGGGATTATTATTATTATTGGATTATTTCTGGTACTGTGACCTCACTATTGCAGAGTTGGGGGCATTTTCATTCGTTTGCCACAGTTTGTTATAAATCCCTTCACGAGCAAATCACAGAGTGTCAAACAGGCTTTTATTGCCTTCAGCTGTTTTCTTTCCGTTTAAGTTTACTGAACCTCTGCATCTGATTACAAGTGCCAGAAAACTAGAGTAATGTTTTCAGTGTGTTGTACCTGTGTACCGGAACCAAAGTATTTGCTCCAAATCTTGTTGTGTGATGCTGTTTGCAGTGAAAAAAGTTCCAGGGAAATCGAATGATGACCTCCAACTAGACTCGAAGAGCGAGCTGGACACCAGGTTACACGACGTCAGTGGACAGCTGAGCTCCGGCAAGAAACTGAGCCGAAAAGGTTGGTGCAGTGCAAGCTCGTGACTTAGAGCAGGGTGGTGCAACCGGTGGCCTGCGAGCCGCGTCCGGCCCAGCGGATATTAATAATAATCCTTGCATTTGATACAGCGCCTTATCGCGTCTTCTAGACCTCTCAAAGCGCTTCACGGAGTATACTGTAAAGTGAATTGACTGCATATTTTGCAGGAGAAACGCAGCAGCGTCCCCACAAACAGTCATAGACTGAAGTGACCAAATTATTATTATAACTATTTTTTTTGAAAGGATTATTACCCCCGGAAAAGCAATCCGCCAATCAACTAACAACCAGGCTCCCACTTACTGCTAGATGAACAGAAGCATGTGGAGTAAGGCCCAAAATTTGGCCTTGATGGGAATCGAACCCAGGTCCTCTCGCTTGCCAGGCAAGCGCTTTAACCACGAGCTACAGGACTTCATAACTTCATCATCTGCAAAGCAAATACTAGCGACATGCAGACCCCAAACCAATCAGGAGACAGTCCCCCGGGGGCTCTGGCTCTGCCCAGCATCGGGACTGGCTGATCAGGATAAAATATTGCTTATGTGCCCTGCAGGCGTTTGTCAAATGTGACCTCCGGCCCTCAGGAGCCAAACTTGGATCACAGGCAAAGTAGACGGGGAGAACAGGGGCACAGCTATAGCACTCGCACTGTCGTTTCCAAAGCTGTGAGATGCTAATCACGACAAAGTCTACTGTCCCGTTCAATTTGCATTGACTGAGACTACAGTGTGGTTTTTAATTCTTTCGAGGAATTCCTCATCACACGGATTGCTGAGATCGTACTGCAACCACAACTTGCATTTATGTAGGGCTCTTTATGCGGGTTTAGCAGCCTGGAATGCTTGACTGGCCCCGATTCGGGGTGTGGGGCGCAGGGTGACCGTAAGTACAATCACAAAGGAAGGTCTTTAGGCGGAATTTAAAAGTGGGGAGGGAGGAGGCAAGGTGGAGGGATTGAGGGAGTGAGTTCCAGAGTTTAGCAGCGTAGTCCAGTGGCTGAAGGCACCGATTTTGGAGATTGTAGTCCGTGTTTCTCTCCACACCGACATATCGATGGATTTTTGCATTTCCGGAATGAATGAATTAATGGACAAAAAATGTTGGGACGTTTTAAACTGAGTCAGACTCGGTTCGAAAACTTTAAAATCTTTTGAAACCAACTTGTTTGAAGGGTTAAGATCTGAGCAGTTGAGCTACAATTGCACGTTCAGTGGGAATACCTGGTCTCAGCCACACAAGGATTATTTGCAAGTAAAACAACAACTTGCATTAACATAGCGTCTATCACCCAGGGCAGCCTTCCAGATTTGCACTACCCTTTGCGTGAAAAAAATTGCGTGTTGATTTCACTCCTAAGTGGCCCCTAACTCTAATTTTAAGATGATAACGATAATAATCCTTGCATTTCATATAGTGCCTTATCGTGTCTTCGAATCTCAAAGCGCTTCACAGAATAACAACAACTTGCACTTGTATAGCGGGAGAGGGGACAAGGCAGCGGGATTGAGGGAAGAGTGTTTCAGAGTTTCGGGGCGTAGTGGTTGAAAGTGCGACCTCCGATAGCGGGGCGGAGGGTGCGAGGGACGAGCAGGAGCCGGGGCCGGTCGAACGGAGGCGCCGGGTGGTGGATTTGGGGAGTGAGAAGGTCAGAGAGGTAGGGAAGTGCCAGAGACTGAAGGGATTTCAACATAAGTGTGAGGATCTTGGACGTATATACTACAGAATATACTGTAAAAATATACTGTGAATTGATTGTATATCTCATGGGCGGAACGCGGCAGTCAATTGTGCACAGCAGCGTCCCCACAAACAGTCGGGGATTGAAGTGACCGATTTATTATTCTTGGAAGGAGTTATTACCCCCGGAAAAACGATCCGTCGATCGACCGCTAGGTAAACAGAGGCATATGGAGTAAGGAAACTTGCCTAATGTTTCATCCTGCCGGGAATTGGACCAGGTCTCTCGCTTGTGAGGCGAGTGCTGTAACCACTGAGCTACAGTATTTCACAACCCCTTGTTCTGGATTTTCCCCATCCACCAGAGGAAATAGTTTTTCTGTTCACGCTGATCGCCAGGAGAAACTCCCCCATACTCTGAAGCATTTTGAAGGTTGAGTGTTATCTGTTGCACTGATAGCAGGGCCTCGCTCATGCGATTTAAGGCAGACTAGTAGCGTCTCAACACCACGAGTTTGCAGCGTTCACACACTTGTTTGCACAGAAGCGTTGGAGTCGGTGATTGGGTTTCCCAGGTAACCAGAGCTTATCTCCTCAGCTTCACGGCTGCAGTGTAACCAATAACTTGTGGGATTTGGGGAATAAAAATAACGATCGTGCTCCCAAGGAAGAGGCAACTTTATGCTCGGCCTCAAAATATATTGCTGTACAGTTTATCGAGATGTCTCGATGCACTTCACAGAATACACTGGAAAGTGAATTGACTATATATTTTGTGGGCGAAATGTCTGTATAATTCTGTACAAATAGAATTGTGGGTTTCAATAAGATTTACTTAAAGGAAGTTAGTCAGGTAAAAGCGCTTCAGTGGTTTCCCCCAGTACCCCGAAACTCTGGAACACTCTCCCTCTATCTCTCCGCCTTGCCCCTTCCTTCCCCATCTTCAGGTCACGCCTGAAGACCTTCCTCTTGGACCATACCTACGGTCACCTCCCCCTCTCCCCCCCGGCTCGGGGTCGTGCTCCACCACTGTCAAGCGCTCTGGTACTCTACCCTGTGCGAGGAGCGCTGTGTACGCTCCTACCCTCCCTGCCCTACACCTTCCCTGATCGCACCCCCCCCACAGCTCGAGTCCAAATACCTGCAGTCCTATCCAGCGCCTCGGAGCGTGAAAGACGCTGTGTAAATGCAAGTTGTTGTTGTTGTCTCAAAGCACTTCACAGAATGTATTGCAAATGGATCGACTGTGTATTCTGTTGGGTGTATCGTAGTTGAGCGGTTGTGTCGCGGTGGTTGGGGGGGGTGGGAGGGGGAGCTGTGGCGTACGTGGCTGATTTTCACTAGGAATTCTGTTCTGTGCAGCAGAGAAGCACGACGTAAGCATGGACACCGGGGGTCCCTCCAGGATCAGGAGCAGCAGCAGCTCGTCGGAGTCGGACAGCAGTAGTGACTCCAGCTCCTCTGACAGTAACGACTCTGAAACAGGTTAGCGTCAATTCTCTCAGTCATTGAACCTGTGGCTGGCCTGGTGCCAGCAGCACCCATTTACCCCCACCACCCACCCACCCACCCACCCACCTCAGCCCCACTTTCTCCGCACACAGCACCCACCCACCCACCCCGATGCTAGTGTTCCAAGCAACAGCCAATAACCTGGCTAAACAAACCAGGCTGCAGTAGATAATTTACCAGATTAACGGAGCGGATGGATGGACGGACGGACTCCTGTGGTAAGAGTTTCTCGTGTGAAATATTGACATTCCTGCAAAGATTCTCTGGTGATTATGTCTGTTAAACAGCTGGCACAGAACAGCGGTGCAATAATGCTGGTGTAACAGCCGGTGAAAGCCATAAAAATGATCTTAAATTGCACTTGTTCAAACCACAACGCAGCTTCAAGGGAATGGGAAAAAAAATCATTTTTTATATATAGATATATATATATATCTTATATATATGTGTGTGTGTGTATATATATATATATTCAAAAATGGGATTTTTAAGTTTGACTACCTCTCCTCTTTTGACGACATAAACATAAACCTCAAATGACTTCACCTGCGTGTGAAATCCGCACGTACGCCTTTTCTGGTGGGAACTGACTGTGACGATGCCACTTTTGCGAGACAAAGTGAGCGCAGTTCGCGTAGCGCTGCACAGGATTGGAAACGGAGCAATGCTTAAGACTAGATTTTTCATGGCGCTGTGTTGTGCATTTGACTGTCTCACAGTGAGTGAGTGAGTGAGTTACACATGTTTTTTTTCAAACCACCACAAAAAATAAGATTGTAAACTGGTTATATCTCAGCGATTGGTGCCCAGGTCTTGTACTTTGAACCCCTTTCGTAGGGCACATTTGGCAGTCACGCTCTTATCTACCTTGAGTTCTGCCACCATAAACCCTGTCTCACATTGCCATTATTTTATTGCCTAAAATAAAAATAATAATTTGGCCATTTAATTCATGACTGTTGATGGGACACTGCTGTGTGCAATTAGCTGCCAGGTATTGCCCACGAACCATACGGTCAATTCACTTCACAGTTTATTCTGTGAAGGGCTTTGAGCCGTCTAGAAGACATAATAAGGCAAGGATGCAAGGATTATTATCAAATGCAAGGACTATTATTATATATAAAATGCCAGGGAGTCTGTTTCACTGCTGTAATTTGTTGGGGTTCAAATATTCAAGGCATTTGCAGTTTGATAGTAAAATTGATTTCACATAGTAAAATTGCAGCCTTATCATTTCCCTACCAGGCGTCTGTTTTGTATACTTAGCATCTACTGTTTAACCCAAATTTCCCTTTAATTGCCTTAAGAAATTACCAGTCGTGTGGCGATTACATAATGACAATCTCAGACCCTCCACCCTCCCAGTCAACTTTAAATGATTCCTCCCTCCCCCACCCCATCCCATTACCCCTGAAACAAATTTAAAGTTGAAATTCAGATTACAATGGGGTCCTGTGACTTAGTGATTGGAGCACTTGCCTTTCAAGCGAGAGGCCATGGGTTCGATTCCTGGGCAGGACGTAATGTTGGGCAAGTTTCCTTACCCCACAGATATGCCTCTGCTTACCTAACAGTAAGTTGGAACCCAGTTGATTGCTTTTCCAGGGGTAATAATCCCTTAAAAGAAATGTTCGTGGGACACTGCGCAATTGGCTGCCGAGTTTCGCACACAAAATACACAGTCGATTCACTTGACAGTATATTCTGTGAGGCCTTAGAGACATCTCGAAGACGAGATAAGACGCTATTGCAAATGCAAGATTTATTATTATTACATTCTCCTCCAATACACGTTCTGCTTCCACTCACTCAGGTGGTTTGTATCTTCAGACTCCCTTCAGTGAATTACAGCCTTGTAACTCCTCCCGATCATCCCTTACTTTGGCTCCAGAGGTCTTGCATTGAAAGCACGTCAGCGGGTTATTTGTGTGATGTTTACTTCTGTCCGTTTTGCCGACGGCTTTGTCAAGTGTTTTCATAACGCCCCCAGTGTTTTGTGTGGAAATTGAAACTGGATTTGTTGATATTGTAAAATTCTCAAATATTATTCCACCAAAATAACCCACTGCCTTCTAATTAATCTGTAACATGATGAGGCTGATCGGAAATTGTACAGTAGGTTTCTTAATTGCCTTAACATGGAGATCAGACAACTGCGGGTGACTCTCACTGTACACATACAGCTCATCTTTGCTGTACATTTTGTCCCACTGATGCTAACTGTTTGTAAGGGGCTGTCGCTGTATGTATTTAATAATAGATCCCGGATTGGCAAATTGTCAAACGTTTTGTATTACCCGCTCATGATTTACAAAATGTTATCTGATGTGTAATGGCCTGTGATGGATGGATGATGTGATCTTCGCCACCGATGCTATTGTTCAGCCCAGTGAACTTTTTAGTGTAAGCTGTGTAACCGGTTGTGTAATAGCCACAGAGTGCGGAGTTTGGAACTGCGAGGTCAGCCAGCTGAGTGCAATGTTGTAGTTGTGCTGTGTTTCGCCCACAAAATATGCAGTCGCTGCACTTTACAGTACATCCTGTGAAGCGCTTTGAGACGTCTCGAAGGCGCGATAAGGCGCTGTATCAAATGCAAGGATCATTATTATATATATCAATATATCCTGCTGTTGTACAATTGATTACAAATAACCTGTGCCACCTTGCGCTGGGTGCTGGGGATTGAGAGATATCATGGTTTGACAAGATGACCTTGCAGTCATGGGTTTCCTTTGAAATACACTCAAACCCTCAGTTGCTGATGGTCGCAGGATGGGCCGCTAGCTTTCGTGGAAAGACAAATAGAAATGCAATTCAAAGTCAATTGGAAACTCAAAATTTACTGCACATTCGGGGGGGCGGAGGGGGTAGGCATTCGGCCCAACCTGTTTCTTCAAATTACCTTTTTTTTCTTTTCCCCCCCCATTAATCGCGCTTCTCAGCGCTCTCTCCCCGCATCCCATAGGCGGTTTTACTGTGAACCTCAAATGCATTTGGTTAAAAACCCTTCGCATTTTTCGAAGGTCTTCTGGTCTCGTGTTGCGTCACCTGAAGTAGCGAGAGCGCTCGTGAAACCTCAGCCTGATCAGATCTGCTGCAATTATAACATCGCCTTTGTCGGAAAGTGCAAATTGCAGACATTTTCAGAACGGCGTTTGGAATCCGCCTGAAAAATTTGGAGTTGCGTAGGGTTGTGTAAAGCGCGCGCAGGCCATTTGGTGTTTATACTCCCACACAAAGCCCCGGGTATCATTTCGGTGAAAATGGCGATGCATCTCACCAGGAGGTGCTCAGCTTATTTCACTGCCGGGCAAAATGTGTTCCATTTAACTCACTCGAGTGTTGTTCTTTTCAAATCCCTTCGTGCCCCTCGCACCTCCCTACGCTACACTATGCCCCGAAACTCTGGAACTCTCTCCCTCAATCCCTCCGCCTTGCCCCCTCCCTCCCCACCCTTAGACTCTGCCACCGTCAAACACTTCGGGGCGAGACTCCACATGAAAGGGCGCTGTGTAAATGTAAGTTGTTGTTGTACAGTGCAGCAGTTGCTTGTGACTTGAAGGACTGTTCAAACTGATGTGATGGATTCAGTGCATCTAAAGCTGTGTATCCTTGGGTGCGGGGTAATCTGTGCCTGTTGTCGCTGCTGCCTGTAAATCTCCCTGAAGGAAACGCTTGACTATTTGGTCTATTTATTTGATTTGGTTTCTCCAGACCAGTTGCCAATTATTGTGGAGTCCTGTAGCTCAGTGGTTACAGCGCTCGCCTTGCGAACGAGAGACCCGGGTTCAATCCCCAGTCAGGGCGAAACGTTGGGCAACTTTCCTTACTCCACACGTTGACCCAGCAGTAAGTAGGAACTCGATTGTTTGTCGATTGACAGACCGCTGTTCCGGGGGTGATAATCCCTTCAAAAAAAACAAAATAAATAATAATTTGGTCACTCAATCCACGACTGTTTGTTGGACAGTCCACGACTGCTGTGCGCAATTGGCTGTGCGCAAAATGTACAGTCAATTCTCTTTACAGTATATTTCTGTGAATGGCTTTGAGACGTCTCGAAGACATGATAAGCATCAAATGCAAGGATTATTATTATTATTTATTTGGTTTCGTTTCTCCAGAATAGTTGGCTTGTGTCGCGTGGAGGCAGTTGTTTATGTAATCCTCCAGCTCTTTAACAACCATTCTTGTGCTATCTTCTATTTGCTTGGATTTTTCACGTGCTGTTGACTTACTAGTTTCCGGCGAGCTGGTGCCTTTATTGTTAACTACAACAATGTGAGAGCGAGCAAGCGAGGGAGAGCAATTCACTGAGCTGAAGTTTACTCCACAATGCCGAAAGAGAGAAGAACACTCACGGGGAGAGGCGCAGGTGGTGTCTTTACTTTAAAGTGTCCATTGCGCTTCGCTGCAAGTCGTATCGTGTTAACACTTTATATTAAAATGCAAATTTCACGCAATCGATTGTGTATTCACCCAAAACCTACGTGTGGGTTCCAGCCCTGGTCTGAAGCTGTGGCCACTCATTTCCTTATCCGCCTCTCTCCTCGTCCTTATTTTCTTTATCTTCTATTCACCACACGCTCAGTTTGGGAAGCTTGGATTGACCATACAGACCTGTATATAGTGAAGTAAGATAACTGTATAAGCTACTAAACTTTGTGGAATCCTGTAGCGTAGTGGTCAGAGCGCTCGGCTCGCAACTGAGAGGACCCAGGTCTGATTCCTGTGAGCGGCAAAACCTTTGGCGCATAATAATCCTTCCCCCCTTCCCCCCCACCCCACCCCCCATGACTGACTGTTTGTGGGACGCCGCTGTGCGCAATTGGCTTCCGCGTTTCACCCACAAATATACAATCAATTCATTTTACAGTATATTCTGCAAAGTGCTTTGGGACGTCTCACAGATGTGATAAGGCGAGATGCATTTGGGAGTGGTTTTAAATTCCCTCATAGGGAGGATAAAC